AGTCGCGGCAAGTTTGTCTCCGGGAGTGTGGCCGTGTGGATGATCCTGGAAGAGGATGCTAAAGAAGCTTGCCCGACCTGGACGGGAACAGGCTGTTGGCGAGGCCCTTGTATGTAGACAACGACGGCTGAGAAGCGTCGTAACATTATATTTATTTGTTACTAGCGGACGTACCCGGCTTCGCCCGAGGTTTTACCCGAGTAAAGGTTTTTCTAACGAACATTTGTTAAAACAATTCTCTATAAACTTATATAAAAAAAGATATATTTTGATAATTTGAAACTCGTATATTTGAAGCTCTCGATAAAGTGAACATTTTTTCCCGGTCCCTGTGTGCCGTGTCATCCTGAATTTTGTCTTTCCTAATTTTCTACATTACAAAATCATCGTTTTATCTAGTGAACATATTTTCCCGGTCCCTTGAAAAATACTCGATAAGTTGAATAAAATCATGGTCGTTTATGGAAGATGGACGTAGTTCCCGGAGGTCACCCGCCCCCCGCGCGCCAGGACCTCTTGATCCCTCTGATTGGTCGGTGGGAACTTGGACTGTCCAACCAACTGGCCGGCGGCCGGACGGGGAGGGGGGGGCAGACCTAAGCCTAAGCAAGGTGGCGCTGCTTGCGGGTTAAAGCTACAAATCTGCAAATATCTCTAAGGATATTAAAGATATTCAAGAAATTATTTTTCGTAAACCTTTCCGGAGATACACCTAATAATATCCCAAAATTTCACGGCGATTGGATGTATGGTTTTTGAATCCATAGAGGACACACAGACACACACACACACAGACATTCAATTTTATATATATAGATTTGCAGGTGGAGGGTTTTCAGCGAGAGCATGGTGATGCCCATAATATTATCCAGTGTACCTAGGTTCTAGAAAACCTACAGGAATATTTCTGGAATGAGGAAAGTGAAAGGAATGTTTCGCTGAAAGATTCGAAGGAATTCTAGGAATGATCGCCCCAAAATGAATCAAAATCCGTAGAACGGCCATGAAGACATAGGGCGACCATTCCGAGCATTCTCATCAATACCGACGCATCAACTACACGAACATATTCCAAACCTCACTAAGGAACTTAGCAAACGATAACCGCGAGATTTAAAACAATACTTTCATTTGATATAAGAGAGATTATACAAGGTGGGATCAATAAATAAGGTGAATTATAATTTATTTGAAAAAATAAGAACGATATTAAAAATTAGGACTTGATTTATTCAAAATAATCACCTTGGCTTTCTATACATCGTCTCCATCGTTCTGGCAACTTGTAAATACCCTCTTTATAGGCACTCTTAGGAAGCGTGTGAAAGAAATCTTGCACCACTTTCTGGACATCTTCATCCGAGTCAAATCGCTTTCCCTTTAACTCCTTCTTTAGTAGTCCAAAAAGGAAATAGTCAGAGGGGGCTAGGTCTGGACTATATGCAGGATGTTCTAAAACTTCAAAACCTAATTTAATGATTGTAGATACAGTTTTACATGATGTATGCTGCCTTGCATTATCATGAAGGAAGAGAACACCTTTACTAAGCTTCCCTCTTCTTTTGTTTCTTATACCGGGCTTTAGCTTATTTACAAGAATGTCACAATAAAAGTCGCTGTTCATACGTTACCTTGAGGATAAAAAATCAAGACAGATTGGCCAATCAACATCCCAAAAAATTGTTAACAAAACTTTACCGGCCGAACATTAAGACCTGATTTTTTTTTTTGTCTTGGAGAGTCGCCTCGTTTCCATTCCATAGATGCACGTTTTGTCGAAGGATCATAATGATAACACCAACTCTCATCTCCAGTTACAATTTGGTCAAGGAAATGATCACCTTCCTCTTCATACCGCTTTAACAGAGCCTTTGAAACCCGAATACGGTAAAGTTTTTGGTCCAAATTAAGGAAATGTTGAATCCATCTGCAGCATATTTTTCTAAATTGCAATTGTTCTTTAATAATGGTGTGCACAGTTTCATAGCTTATATTCAAATTGTCGGCTATGGTAAAAATGGATATTTTTCTATCCTCCAAAATTAAGTTTTCAACCGCATTTATCGTGCTTGGCGTCGCTGTAACACTTGGTCGTCCAGGTCGCTCAATATCGGTACATGTGATTCGTCCATTTTTGAACTCGTTAACCCATTTATAAATGTTTTTTGAGACAAACAAGACTCACCATAGATATTTTTCATTCTTTGGCATATTTGAGATGTTTGAATACCTTCTGCATTCAAGAAACGAATAACTGCACGTTGTTCAAGCGTGGTGCAATCCTTCAAGGGAGCTTCCATTTTAGTTTATTTATAAGTCTCGCGCCGCGCGTGGGAAAAAAGAACAGAACACCTTAAATAGTCTCTCGATGTTATATTTTAATATTCTGTGGTTTAAATTATTTTTGCTTTTTTAATTTTTAAGAAATAAGATAATTCACCTTATTTATTGATCCCCCCTTGTACAATAAATTATCCGGCAGTGTGTGCACGTGGCTAAGAGTTGGCAGGACCCAAAACGCAAGAGTTGGCGAGCCAAGTGTCATCGGCGCTCGGTTGGGGCAATATGTTTGCCAGAAGAGGAGGCTAAATATAGAACGACGGTTATGTCAGAGTCAAGCAATTAACAATAACAACAGTCGCTACTGCCAGGAAGTGAAAGTTCACAGTGTTTCAAAAGCGTTGAATACTATAAAAATTCTACAATAAATAATAATAAAATATAAAAACAAAGGTCACCTCTCCCGTCAAAATAGACGTCAAAAGTAGACGCCATCTATTGACCGTCGTTGCAAACTAGCAGTCTCGGGTCGGTGACAAAGCCACAGCACCAGCCTTAGCAAATTGAGAAGCGCCCTCGTGGAGCCTAGGTTTAAGGATAAAGGCCCTTGTCACTCCAGGACGTGCTTGGTTCCATGATATACACAAGGGATCTAATGAAATCTTCATAATCATGCCAATCTGTGTCTAGCTGGCAGAGCAGCTAGGCCAAATCTATGGCCAAAATATAGATGGAAATTTTGCCGGGAGAAGCGAGCTTTATTTTTATAGAAACAGTGCAATTTGTAGACATGTAATTAAAAAAAAAAACAACAACAACAACTAAACTAATCTGAATCTAAGCTTTATTCTGAACTCCGGGATTCAATTCCGATAATGGTAACAATGAGATAACAAGGATGGTAATGATGATGATTATAACAATGCTGATAACAATGATGGTAACCACGATGGCCACAATGAAGGTAGCGACGAAGAACAAGATGATAACAATGATGGGGGGTAGCAATGAAGATGACAATGCTGATAACCATGATGGTAACCACGATGGCCACAGTGATGGTAACCATGATGGAAGTAAGGAAGAACACAATGATGATAACAATGATAGCCACATCCTAAGAGCAAATGGCCTTCCAGACCATCCGGCTTATGGACCGAAAGGTCTAGGAGGCCATTTGCTCCTAGGCTGTGGCCTCATCGTTGTGTTCTTCGTTGCTACCATCATGGTTACCATCACTATGGCCCACGTTATTACCATCATTGTTATCAGCATTGTCATCTTCGTTGCTACCATCATTGTGTTCTTCGTTGCTACCTTAATTGTGGCCATCGTTGTTAAAATCGTGGCTGCCTTCATTATCATTACCATCATTGTTGTCTCATTGTTACAGTAATGGTACCATGATGGTGTCAACGATAGTACCAATGATGCACCAAATGTCGAGTTAATTTATTTAGAGCTGGTCCCGTTATGTTTAAATTCAATCACGCCAGTCGTTCAAAGAAAGAAAAACGAGCCGGTCGAAAAACATCCAGCTTTTTTTTTTTTGCTTATCCCTAGTACACTTGGTACAGGCCATGATAATCATGGTGGATAGTTAGCGACTGCTTTTTACTGTAAGCGCACCACATGTCTACACATGTGAAAAGCAGTTCGACTTTGCACTTACAAATGTGCCAGAGCCCCGTTTGGTTACTTGCACTCGCTACATCCAGCTTGAATTTCTCGAGTTTCTAATTTGATTAACACAGAGGATTACATTTTTTCCTCGAGGCAGCGAGAAGTAAAATCAGCTGACAAACATTTGCCTAAAGCCGTACGTGTCAAGCATAGGTTATACCTTTAGAGCCGATGAAAATCCAATAGATGCTACTGGCTGCCATATGGCGACAGGTGTTGCGTCCTATTCTTACCTGTGCAATCGACGCGGGGGAATAAAAAAAAATGAAATTCCCATCTCATCATTCAGAGGCTGAACAAGCCGCGATTGACATTTGAGACGAATGCGTCATCACAACACTATGTCTAAACATCGCGTCCAGTGAGATGCCATCGAGGGAAACACACATCGCAGGAGCGGCGACATCTAAGATTGAGATCACTGTTAACTCAAATTTTATTCCGTCTCGTTTTACAGCGACAAATAAAAATCGATAACAAAAAGATGCTAGAATACTACAAGGAACAGAACATCTACTACCTCATGTAGAGAGAGATATAATCTGTAATAATAATTGAAAAAAAAAAGTATGAACACAACGTTAAGGAGCAGAACAACTATTATATATATACATCTCCTGTAGATGTGTCATCTGTAAAAAAAAAATAATTTTTAACAACGTAAATCTCGTAAATCATCATAAATCTTGCCTAACTCGTTTCACATGTTGAAATATTTATTTGATCCATCCAGATTCCTGTAACGTACAGATGTCGGCAACTAACTGGAAACGTCCCAAAGATACACAAGAAACTTCTCGCCTCACCATTTTGTACTTTTAACAATTTACTGCTCCAGGCGATTATACACCTTATGATAAACGATATTCTCCTAACACCTAAAAGGATTGTAAAACGAAAATTGAAATTATACCGCGAATGTTTCTTTTATAAAATCGAAATTTATTTTCAAAGAGAAATAGCGACATTTCTAACTTTGAGGATGAGGTATGGAAAGGTGAAACATGAAGAGTAATGGCGAACGGAAAAATAAAAAGTGTCCAGGGGCGGGAATCGAACCCACACCCTTCTGCTTACCGGGCAGGTGCCTTGTCCACTCTATACATACAAGCTTCCTACTGAAAGGTCACTATCCCGGTGCAAATTCCAGGTTTTCAAGACCAAGCTACTCGCGACAGGCTCCAGCACGGTACAACACGTGAGTACGCCAGCAGCAACCACCCAACACGTGATGTTACGTGCTTCCCAAACAGGCCGGACATTTCCTTTTGCGGTTCAAACTAATTTCATTTTCCGAAATAATGGAATTCGGCCAGGATGGGAAGCCGGATTATTTCTTCTGAACTCCAAATCAGCTGCGCCCTGAGCGCCCGTACAAACCTCCAGATCATGAATTCGATCGATCAGGCGATGGCCAATTTGCAGACCAACTATCATGGCCAGATTGTCGGATTGCGGCCCGAGGTCACGGAGATGGCACGTAGACAGGTAGCCTGGCTGGTGGGCCTGGAGGACCCCGGGGAGATTGTCTTCTACCCTTCCGTGGAGGAGGCCTGGCAGCAAGCACTCGTCATGTGCACTAAGGGCATCCACAGACCGCACATCGTGTGTGACGAGCACATGTCTCGCTATGTGACCTGCGACCATACTGTCGTAACGAGCACACCGCGGATCGCCGTGGAAGATGTCATCTCCGCCATCCTGCCCAGAACATGTGCGATCTTCATCTCCCTTGCCAATCCTGCGGTGGGAACCTTGCAACCCGCAGCCAGCATCGCACAGGCCTTGGGCTTCATCGGGCAAGATGCTCCGTCTTTCGGCGTGGACCTGACGGCAGCGGCCGGGATGGTGGCAGTAGATCTGGAGTATCTGAACACCGCCCTAGCAGTGGTGTCGGGGATGGGCGCCCCAAACGTAGCGGCACTGGCCTGCCGAGCGGTACTGGCGCCTTGCAACGACTGCAACCCACTCTGGATGCCTTACATCGCAGGTCTCGGCACAGCGGCTCAGTTGGCGCGAAGCCATCTCCACTTTAACGACACGATCCTCAGGTACAAACGGAACCAGCTCGTCACTTTACTCAACAGAACCGTGGGCTCCAACCGACTCACAATCCGTGTTCCAAGCCCGCCCGACCTCCCAAACATTCTTGTGCTTTCTTTCGCCAGCCAGAAGGACTACGACCTCGCGGTTGCTGGAGTGTTCAGCCGGCAAGCGCAGGAATCCAGTGAGTTCCTGATCCCATACCTCAGGCTGGGTATCACACCAGATCTGGCACGCAAGACCCTCACCGTGTCTGTCGACCTGGACTTCAAGGACTGCAGCCGCGAGCTGAAAGAAAGCTTCGGAAACTCTACCCAAACTTCATAACAATCCTCGGAAAATTGTTTCCCCCGGCAAATAACTGTATACAAATTGTGGAGTATATACATAGAAGTTTCATGCGCAACAGAATAAATCATTTATTTAGTCTCAGTACCACCATAGTATCAGACACTTACAATTACCAAATAAGCAGCTGAAGTATATCACTTATATCTAACCATTCCACCAAAACATGGCGATATACTGTCTAGATCAACCATCATCCACTATTAGGTTGAAAAAATGGGAAAGCCTTGTTCAACAGTGGTGAAATGTCTATTCATTTTATATCGGTGGAAGGATGGTCTAAACCGTTGGTTTACCACCGCTACGACCCGGGTTCGATTCCCGTATTGGGCACTTTTTTTATGATAAAAAAAAATGCTCTAATGGCTCCAGATTTCTTGCAAAATTCCAACCCCACCAGCGAGTGCAAGTAACCAAACGGGGCTCTGGCACATTTGTAAGTGAAAAGTCGAACTGCTTTTCACATGTGTAGACATGTGGTGCACTTACAGTAAAAGCAGTCGCTAACTACCCACCATGATTATCATGGCCTGTACCACGTGTACTAGGGAAAAGCAAAAAAAAATATATATATATATATATCAGAATAGATTTTTAAAAATTAATCGACTATATAGATACAATTTAGCACAACATCTATATGTCCATTTCTCTTTTTAAATACAACAGCTAGGAGGATTCACCATCCAGGCTCTCTCTCAATATTTTTTATTATTGCAGTAAGGGCAGTAGGATATTTTTTTTTTTTTTTTATGAAATGGTTGTATACTAAAAATGGTCCAAATTTCCTAACACATTTCATTATTCCAAGAAATTTCTGGCTTGTGAGGATGTGTCTCAAGTGATCCGCATTGCCTGCAAATGCATTCTTTATTTGGTTGATGGAAATAGTGAAGTTTTTAACTAATCTTGTGATGATATCTATGGTAAAGAAATACTAGGTTTGATAGAGATTTTTCATGTTTTTCAACAGGTGTTCTATTCTTTTGAAAGAAATACTGTTACAACATCGTTTAAATAGTTTTTGGATTTTCTTTTAGTCTTTTGTTTATTTTTATACACTACTATAAACTAAAGGAAGTTGTACATTTTAGCATGTATATCTGGATTCAGACAATAACTCTGAAAGATATTTGTTAGGCAGTGACCTTTATTGAAGACACATGAGATAACCAAGTGTTTAAAGAAACTTAATGATAAGACACAATTTGGATTATAGATTATGGATTATATTTGGTCTTATTACCTTGGGTTTAAAGAAACATATAATGTTAACTTTCTATCACATTTTCTCTTTAAAAAAACTTAAACAATTTCTATGCAACTATTGCACTATCATCCATTTGAATGACAAAACCAAGTTCCCACAAAAGGAAGGTCAATCATTGTGATTGCCAACAACAGCTGGGTGTTACATCAGCCATAGCACACCTTCTTTGCTCAATTCCATATTATTTAGCACAATTCACATTCTCTTGAGATGACTATCAAAAATAAAAACTGCTATGTTATTAGGTCACATAAATGTGTAACATAAAATTGTCACACAATCTATCATTATATTTTTTTGCACAAAACACATACCAACCCAATATGCAGTTAAACCTGTCTATAGCGCCCCCTCTTGGGACTCACCAAAATAGGGTGCTATAGAGAGGGGGTGCTATAGACAGGTCACTTTTAATGTAAATAGCATAGCTATGTATTTAAAATCGGGCGCTATAGAGTGGGAGGCGCTATTTAGAGGGGGCGCTATAGACAGGTTTAACTGTATAATTATCTCAGTGTTGCAAGCCCATTTTACTATGACAGCTGTCTCTAGCACTATGGATGATAACATTAAAATACTATTATTGTAAAGCCTCTACACTTGAACCTTTCTCTAAACCTAATTGAAGAGCCAAAGTGTCCTTCATAGAGAAGTGTCTTCTTACCCGAGAGCATCTTAATAGTAAAGATGTTGATTTCAGTGATATAGGGATTCCACGCGCTAATTTTTTGATAAGACACAATTTGGATTATAGATTATAAACACAAGGTAATAAGACCAAATCCAAATAAATAAATAGTGTGTGACGTTTCGATAACAGCATAGTTACCATCTTCAGACAAAAGTACTGAATGAGAAATTTTACCACAGCATGTTTTGTTCAGTAATTATTTAAAACATGCTGTGGTATAAAATTTCTCATTCAGTATTTTTGTCTGAAGATGATAACAACGCTGTTACCGAAACGTCACACACTATTTATTTATTTGGATTTGGTCTTATTACCTTGTGCTAATTTGTTCTTCTCTTTTTATTTTTTTTTTTTAGAAGAAAAATGAAGTAAATATGAGAGAAAAGAAAGGTTATGTAAATATAAAAGGATAGATATAAGGTGTTGGTATGGGCTGAAGAGTTGTTGAATTTGTCAAAAATAAAAGTTTTTATTTCATGGTGCCTGAGGTTTGAGGCAACCATTAGGTAGAAAACACGCTACAAGTGAAAACTATCCTAGAAGTGCTATCTCATGAAGACTGTTGTACTGTAATTATCTCATTGTTGCAAGCCTATTTCACTTTGACAGCTGTTTCAAACTGGTGTCTACCAAGACGCGCGTCTATAGGTACATCCTCAGTGTGGAACTGAGGAGCGTTCAAGAAGACCTTGTCTGGAGGAGAACTCTCTCAAGGTGGGGAAGCCTTCCTTGCTGAAGACATTTGTACACATACACAACTATTTATATTCCCCTATATTTTATCTACCCTTTATTTACTATTTTATTATATATTTTTTCCACCTTTGTAACAATTGATTAGAAGAATCAATAAAATTGTCAAACTATGGCTGCTAACAACATAACACCACCATTGTTGTAAAAAACTTCTATATATAATATGCTTATTGTTGCAAGTAACTACAGATTTAGTACTTTTTGTTTTCAAATAAAATAACTTTCTATTGTCTTTATTGATGTGAAAAATATTGGGTGAGCATGAATCATCAATGGAGAAACCTTCTAAAAGTTTCACAAGTTTTATCCAGTGAGATCACAACGTTGCAAGCCCAGTGTACTAGGAGTTCTGTTTTACATCATAGTGGTTTCTATCTGAAAAAAAAATATATAAGGAACCTTCATTGTTGAAAAGCTTTTAATCAATTCCCATTGTTGCAAAACATAATTCCATAAGACTGCTGTTTTATACCATGTTGGCTATTACATATGAAAATATGGAACATTCACTATTGTTAGAAATCTTGGAAACAATGCCCGTTATATTTTACTAAAAGCCACAAAATCAATTCCAAAAAGTTGGTGAACACATTAAAACAAGTGAAAACTCATTTTAACACTATTTAATTGGGACTCACTGGAGCCAAATTGACAAAATTTTCACCAATTAGCAGCTCTCAATAAGAGAATGCTTCTCCTTAAAAGATATTTTGGCTCTGGAACTAGGTTTAATAAGAGTTCATCCTATGTCAGGATTGACCCTTCATCATCATGTAGTGTAGAGCCATTTCTGAAATGATGGAAAGTCAGCCATCATGGATGTCATTTTTACCCTGCTCTGGACAATTCTCTCCTGTCCCTCTTTATGCATCTCTAGTTCCAGACAATTCAATTAGAATTACACATAATTCTAAACACAAGATAATAAGAATAAACACAAATAAAGTTTGTGACATTTTTGTAACAGCATTGTTACTGAAACGTCACACACTATTTATTT